AAATGTAACAAAAAAAATACCGATAAAAAGATCCTGCCCAGCAGATTGCTAGAAAAAAAAATTTGTTGATTACCACAAATCACCCACCCCCTCAAAAGTTACATGATCGGCCCCTAACTGTAGTTTAATCTACACGAAACTAAAAGCCGCTACTCTATGCTAAGTTAGGCGCTGGAATGTACCACCTTATGTCAATCAAGGCAGCATTCCAGGTTTTAGGATGTCGGGGTCATTTTCCAGCATTCCTGGTTTTAGGACTTGGGGTCGTATTCTAGTAATAACACCGACTGAAGGGCATCACGCCTTCACGGCATAAAATATCTATAGCGGCGTGTCCAATTTTTATTGAGGCTTGCAAAGTGACGGGGTATGCGAAAACATTTGAGGGCATTCTATTTGGAAACACAGGGTATTTTCATAACGACACGACAAGTCGTAAGTTCATAGGTAGAGACTGGTACTTCGCATCATGTATTTAATTTATTACAACTCGAATTCGAATTTCTTGTTCCGATTTCTTTTAGCATATGTCAGCAATCCAGGGTACCACTTCAAGATCCACATATTTCCTTGTAATGTAAATTTCGTATTAAGCCTCAATCACACATTTGTATCGTTTATGGCATTTTATTCGCCAATTTTTAAATTGTTTACAACTCCGTGGAAGTGGTAGTGCACGACACTTTCTTTCTTAGCCCTCATTCGTTTTCTTCGGCACTGTACCCGGATGTGGCCAGATAGGCCGCTGTTGTAACATCTCTCTGAAAGGAAATAAAGAACAATACATGGAGAGATTCTATGTATCCTTTATATTAATCTGAAATTTCGAACAATATATCTCTATTTCGGTGCACGCAATCCTAAGTCATTTAATTAGACACTCCCATGTATATTTCCTATCTCACAGCGTCATTGTAAGAACATGAATTTAGCTCGCTTTCAATTGAACAGATAGTTACAATTTTACAGCTTATTCAGCGCGCCTCACATTTCACCGTAGCAAAGAGTAATTTTCATGGAAGAACTAGGTTTACAATCACTGGGTTTATTACTTACTAGGTTGAAACGGCCGTTCTCCTTCCCTTAGAGGGTAACGTCTTTCGCGCCCGGCTGCTCCTTCGCGTCCACGTGGCCGTCCTCTGTCTTCACGTGGACGTGGGAGTCCTCTTTCTTCGCGTCGCATTGGGCGTCTCCTTTCTTGCCTCTCAACCCTCCTTTCTAATCTTCTCCTATCTTGATGCCTTTCCCTTTCTCTATCGCCTTGCGGCATCTCCCCACCTCGCTCACGTCTGTCCCTTTCGTGATCTCCTTCGTTTTCTTCCCTACGTCCTTCCACTTCTAATCTTAATAGCTCCATCTCCTCGTAGAGTTCAGCCATCTAAAAGACAGAAGGCTTATAAATTTTTCGCACATTCCCATTTCTTTTTTTTTAACCAACCATAGAAATTTTACACTTTCGCAGCGGCACTTTTTTGACTAACGAGGAATCACATTAAGAATAGTACATTGTTTTTGTTGGAGATGTGAATTGATAAAACTTGTTCACTTTTGAAAGCTTGAGTAACTTACTGTGTTTCAACTGGATTTCAAGACTGGTCTATCTGCACATAAAATATGACAATTAGCAAAGGAAACAGATAAGAGGCACACAGAGGGTTGAAATTGTTCTTCTACATCCAAAACACAACGCAACAACAGTTTAACACACTTACCTAACCGAAATCGCAAAGTAGTGACTCAGTGGCGTTTGCATAGTTGGTTTATCATCAGGGAACATCCCACGAAAATAACCGACCAATTAGGACACAGACTTTACAATCGCAATGGTGCCGCCTTTCCGGCATTTTTCTGCTTGATGGGAACGGTACTATGAGTATCTGGCGCACCAGTTATTATTTCTCTTTGCATCTTATATATCTAAAGAGGAGTTTGACTAATGGTCGTGGGTCGTGGGTCGTGGGTACAAGTCGTGGGTCATGGGAGTGGGTAAAAGTCGTGGGTGTGGTTAATACTTAATAATAAAAATAACCATTTCAAATATTATATATAACAATACATAAATTTTATACAACCCTGTCATTCATCAATTTAACTGTTCTTTCTTCTAGTTATTTTATTTTGTTTATTCAATTTACTCTACTTTACGTCTATTTTTATCTGTTATCTCACTGTCAATGAAATTAGTTTCAGTTTCGCGACGCATTCCGAGATCTCGTTTGATAACAAATGGAAGAGAGATAAATCTTGTAATTACACACTGTGTACACGTTTTTCGAGCTGTGGGGTCTGCGGTCTGCGTTTTCGAGGTCTGTGTTAACGAGACACCTGAGTTGTTTTGTACGATTGTACCAAAAATGATTTCATAGAGTAGAAGTACTATAACGTTAGAATTGCGACAGCGCTCGTGAATTCTATATTTGCGGCTTAAGTCAGGGGCCAAGGAACAGAAATTCCGAGATCTCGGCTGATAACATCAATGACAAAAGAAAGATAGATAGATCTGGTATTTACACACTGTATACACCAAGGAAAACTGATTGTGCACAAGTCGACCGACTCAAAAGGCACACTCATAACCTCTGCCAGACTGGTAACTCGACAGTGGAGGATCGTAAACGCGATATTAGCTGTGGTCACACTACAGGGTTTTGTCCTAGGGAAACTTAACTTATTGACAGTTTCCCTAGGGAAACTGAAATATGCGAGTGTGACCGATTTTTCTCTAAGTAAATTACCTCGGGAAAGTTTTATCGTCTGGGGCTTGAAAACCGCAAGAGAACAAACGATTGACGATTGTTCCAGATTCTTTACTACTGTTTTCTCTACGATCCCGAGCTTGTCGAGTACATATGTTTTTTTTCCTTTTTTTTTTTCGGGCAGTACTTCGGACTGTTTAACTTGTGGTAAGTGTGCGTCATTGTTTCCAATAGATTGTTTGTACAAAAACAGAACCCTTGATTTACAACTGTTTGAAACAGGATACCTACTACGTATATTTGTATGTTTACTTCAAGCATTCGGAAAAAAGAAGGGGCAGCTGGGTTTTCTGAAGTTTGGCTAAAACGAAAATTACGTGAACAATTCCAAAAGCAAAAGGTATTCTCTTTGCCTTCATGTAAGTACATTTGGGACTTTATGTAACGAATGCTTTTCTCGTCTGCTTCAGGTACATCACGATAACTTCATCTACGATCCAGGAATTGCCCATTTCGTAGTTTTCGTTGCCATATCTTTCATATTTACTATTGGTGGTAAGTGTATCTCTTTGTTTTAGAACTTATTTTAAGCAACTATAGCTACCATGCCTCAAAACACCCCACCAGATATCAATGAAGTACGTGTATATTTCATAGATCGCCGCCGCCCCTCCTAAATAACATTCAAGTACTTCATCTTCCATCGAAACGTTTAATTCCGATAAGATATTCTTTGTAATGTTTTGCGCAGGTTTTCAGAGCCCAGTAAATATCTTTCGTCCACCAACTAAGCGGCCGGAAATATTGTAACGCATCTTTAACTTATATTGGTTATCTAGCCCAATGATTATCCGACTAAGCATGTACAGAAACACTCTTTGTAACACCTAACTCAATGGGTCTATAATTTTTCATCAAACGCGTTCAGAGCTTTACGGCACTCAGCTCGTCTCAAAACCAAGCACGCTATCGGGCCAAAACACTTGAAAACAGATACGGATTAAGAACCATTAGGTAGGGTGCCTTTGGGATTTTCGGTTTTGCTGTTTCGGCTTTTTTTTTCTTTTTTTTTTTTTTTCGGTTTTTGGGTTCTTGTGCCAAAAGAGGGCGGTTTTTCGTTTTTACTTTTCAGAATGGTTTGGGGATTTTACGTGCTTTTGCATTCGGTGTTCGATGTACCCGAAAAGTCTGATGCGGTTTTCGGTTTTCCTTGTTTACCCCTTGGGGAATGAAAATGTAGCGGTTTTGGCAGGTTTGCATGCGGTTTTCGGTTTTCCTGTCTCTTATTCGTCTGTCCTTCGGTTTTGGAGTCTTTTATTGTCCCTCGGATTTTGCGGTTTCCCAGAGGCCCCAATGTCACCTCATTATACCTGACGAGGCTGAAACATTCTAGTGGCTCTTTGTATTTTTGAATGTGATCATGTCACGTGAAGATTACATGATGAATCCGCCACTAGAAATACTACCACCTCCGAACAAACTACCACATCCGATATCGCTTCACATAAGGAAGCGTTTTATCTTCTTTAGATGCTGGCATTTCATCTTTTGTTTTGTTTTTTTTTTTTAACGCCAAAGTAAACCTTGTTTTTCTAACTATAGTCTCAAAGAATAAGGTTTGCTAAGACATTGAAAAGCACGCGAGTTATCTACAAAAAACTTATTTTTTCGCAGTGGACGCTTAAGCCCGCCAGTGTGTGAAAGTTAATTGTAACCTGTCAAAAGGATCTCCCGATATCATTCCCACTTTGAGATCTGTGCTTTCTCAAATATGTCTCTGCCGCCACTCTCGTGAGACTCTGCAGAACGGTTCGCGTAATTTCGAGTGCTGATCAACATTGCCTTGTTTTACTGGAGAGTGTAATTAAAAGTGTCTTTCACCCCGCCTAGTTGCTTATTATGGAGATCAGTTGTTAAAGTGCTTTACTTAATAGGCCATTTTCAAATTATGTGTAGCCTCTTTTTTTAAAACGAGGCCTAGTGCTTGACCAAACGTATGAAAATGAGTTTAATTTGCAAGTGAATAAAAATTATTACCATACCAAAGGATGAGCACCAGGACTCGCTTTGGAAAAGAGGCTAAAGGCAATTCATAAATTGGCTATTTCTCAAGGTAAA